AAGACTGCACCAAGAGAGTAATAAGAGAGCCCATGGACTGGGAAAACATCTTTAGCAATGACACATCACAGACAAAGGCCTTATCACTAAAATCTACAATACTCTGCTGGCTTCAAAAAAGAAAAATACTAATTGCCCACTGAGGAGGTGGGCAAAGGACCTGAACAGAAGTTTCACAAGGGCAGAAATCTGAATGGCCAATAAACATATGAGAAAGTGTTCCTGATCATTAGCCATAAGATAAATGCAAATTAAAACAACAATGAGATATCACCTAATACCCTCAAAGATAGCTCGATTTAAAAAAATTAGAAAGCAACAAGTGTTAGAGGGGCTGTAGTGAGATAGGAACTCTCATCCACTGCTGGTGGACCTGTAGGTATGTACAGCCACTATGGAAATCGATTTGGTGATATCCAAAACAGATGGAAATCGAGTTACCATATGACCCAGAAATCCGCCTACTGAGCATATACCCAGAAGAGGCAAGAAACAAACCACGGCCAGACATCTGTGCTCCAATGTTCATTGAGGCACAATTCACAATTACAAGGAGTTGGAAACAACCCAAATTTTCATCAACTGATGAGGGGATTAAAAAGCTGTGGTACATGCGTACAATGGAGTACTACGCATTGCTAAAAAACAGTGATGAATGCATGAAGCACATTGCCTCATGGGAAGAACTGGAGGAAATTATACTAAGTGAAATAAGTCAAGCACAAAAGAACAAGTACAACATGAGTCCTTTGAGCTGAGTTTTTAAAAAAATGCACAAGGGGCATAGGGACAAAGCTACTCTATACAAACATTCCTTAGGTGAGGTCTAGGTAGTATGGCAGGGCCCAGACCAAATCCAGGGATACATATGGTAGCCAACTAAAAAGAAGGAAGAAAGAAAAAGACATGGGTAGTGGTGGAACAGGGCACTAACCCACCCAAGTGGAGGGTATTGTTTATATCCCCACAGGGAAAGAGGGACCAGACTTCAACCCAGTGCTCCAAGATGTGAATGCAACATACTGGCATGAAGCAGGGAACCAGTAGAGAGGTCTGAGAGGCCAGCCCCAATCCCAACTATGTGGACAGCACACCCTTCCCCAGAAGAGTTCACTTCAGAGGACAGTACTGAAGCTACAGCTCAGGAAGAGGGACATGTCTGATCAGAGCACACAAGAGCAAATGAAGGGAGAGGAAGAGAGAGTGGAACACATCCTGGGTACACCAAGCACTGAGGATGATATTCTCCCTCAGAAAAGACAAAGCACAGAGAGAACCATATGGTCTACCCCACTGTGAGACTCAATGTCCCTCACTGACCCATAGCGCTATGGGGGACAACACTGTAGACACAGTGTGGGAATTGTGCCTGATCTTACCCCACCATACTACAGGTGTGCAGCAGAACAGCAAGGGGAATGGCAACGGAGTCACCAGGGAATACCAAAAATAGACTTTTGGGCCAGAACATGGCATCCCATCAGACTCAACCTGAAAACACTCCTAAAGGTCAACAAACAGACCTTGAAATATTTACAGGCTTTTCTCTTTTTTTGTCGTGGGTTTTTGTTGTTGTTGTTGTTGTTTTGTTTTCTTCTATTGCTTTGTTTTGCTGTCTTGTTTTTCGTGCATAATGTTATCTCTGGAGGTCTATCTAGATAAGATAGGCTGGAAAACCAATCTGGAGGAGAAAATAATGGGACCAACAGTTCCAGAAGGACATGGGAGAGGGGGAGATGAGGGCTAGTAAGTGGGTGTTAACAACCTCATGAACAAGAGAACAACAAGTAATCCAAAATCGATGGTGAGGAGGTCTGGTAGGGCTTGATCAAAGGCAATGTAACCAAGAAGAATTACAGAAATCCAAATGAAGGCTGAGCATGATAGGGGAATAAGAGGAAAGTAAAATGAAATAGAGAAAGGACTAGGAGGCAACAGGCATTTATAGAGGTCTAAATACAGGCATGTACATAAGTAAATGTATTTATATATAATGATGGGGAAATAGATTTATGTGCATATACTTATAGGTTTAGTATTAAGGTAGCAGATGAATATTTGGGCCTCCACCCAAGTACTCTCTCAATGCAAGAACACTTTGTTCTATTAAGCTGGCATTCCATGATGCTCACCTTCCCAACACGATTGCTGAAGACAAAATGGGTGCATAAGCAAATGTGGTAAAGAAAGCTGATGGTGCCCAGCTATCAAAATATATAGCATCTGGGGTCTTAAAGGCTTGAAGATAAACAAGCGGCCATCTAGCTCAGAAGCAACAAAGACTACATGGAAGAAGCACATAGCCTGTGTGATCATGAGGTGTTGATGGGAACAGGTATTAGGCATCAAAGAACAAAAAATTATATCATTGTAAATGAGGGGGAGTGCGGAGTGGAGACCCACAGCCCATCTGTAGGCAACTAGGCATCCCCTTACAGAAGGGTTATCGGGAGGAGATGAGCCAATCAGAGTTCAGTGTAGCAACGATGAAACATACAACTTTCCTCTTCTTCTTTAATGCTTCCCCTCCACCCCACCCCCCACTATCCTGATCCCAATTCTACCTTACAAATCTGGCTAGACCAGAAGATGTACACTGGTACAGATCAGAGCTGGAAACACAGGGAATCCAGGACAGATAAACCCCTCAGGACCAATAATGAGAGTAGAGATTCCAGGAGGGGGAGGGAAACCAATCACAATGATCTATATATAAGCCCCTCCCTGGGGAATGGACAACGGAAAAGTAGGTGAAGGGAGATATCGGACAGTGTAAGACATGACAAAATAATAATAATTTATAAATGATTAAGGATTTGTGAGGGAGGGATGATGGGGAAGGGAGGGGGACAATGAGGAGCTGATACCAAGGGCTCAAGTAGAAAGAAAATGTTTTGAGAATGATGAAGGCAACAAATGTGCTTGACAAATGGATGGATGTGTGAATTATGATAAGAGTTGTTTGAGCCCCCAATAAAATGATTTAAAAAACCAACCAACCAAAAAGAAAAAAAAACTTGTCAGTTGACCACCCCTGATGCACACTGGATCTGTTCTTGTTTTCAATATTTTCTGTATTTGGGGGCGGGTGTTGTTTGTTTGTTCATATTGGCGTGTATCTCAGATATGTTATGTCATTGGAGTCACGCTCTTGAAGTTGTGCTGTATGTTTTTCTTCTCTTCTGGTCTATGAAACCCGGGATTGATGAACCTATAGGGGGAGCAAGTAGAGTAAGGGTTTCGGGTGGGAGGATAGACCTACAATGGTGGTGGAGGGGGATAAAAGGGAGCCAATGCCAAAGAGTTCAAGAAGGAAAAGAATGTTTGGAAACTGATTGTGGTAGCAATTGAACAATATTGATAGAATGTGACAGAACTATGGAATGATATTATATCTGTAATAACTCCAAATTAAAAAGAGAGAAACTATGAAGTAAAGTGGAAAATAACTTATCCACCACCCTTCCATCACCCTGACTTACACCAAGTGCTATGAGTTCAATTGTTCTTCAGTCCTCACTACTATACTTCTGGGTGTGATCCTGTTTGGAAAGAGGGGTTTCTGTGTTAAGCTAAGTGTATCAGCCCTGAGTAAGGGGGGGTTCTGAATTGAATCACTTCTGAGTGAAGAAAAGAGCTGGTGACACAGAGAGGTATGCACACCACAGGGAAGATGGCCAAGGAAACACGGAATGGCCAGCGCTACTGACAAGAAGGGATGGACACTCCGGGCTTGGACTTTTAAATTCCAGAATGGTAAGAAAAGAAATATAGGTTCTTTAAAGCACCCACTTGTAGTATTGGTGTTAGACCAGCACTAGGGAGCGAAGATACCAAGATAGGATCACCAAGTCAGTCCCGCTGAAGCATGTCCAGGGCACAGACACGGCTCGCACCTCCGACTGCACTCAGTGGAGCCAGACGCAGGGCCAACAGCAAACAGCAGGCCCTTTAGCAGCACTGACTGTCCAGAGCCAAAATCGGGATCCCCTGCAGCTGGTTTGAAGAGGAGCACCTTGGGCACTTCTTGTTCTTTTCTGCTGTTCCAAAGCCAGCTTCCATCAAGGGGCCATTGTGTGCTAGAAGGAAGCCATTAGAGGTGCCTTCCCCAGAGAGCAGATGGAGTCTAAGCAGAGGGATTGAACCCTGGAGGAGCAGCTGCTGGGTCGGAGAAGGGGCCAGAGTCCAGGACAGCAAAGAGCTGTGTGCAGGTCGGCAACAGGCTCCCCAGAATAGACAGGTATCATTGACATTGCTCTGAAGGGTCCGATGTGCTAAGACAGAGCTTCTCAAACCATAATGTGTACAGAAGTCATCTGGCTAAAATGCATATGCAGATTCAGTTGGTCTGGGCTGGTGCTAGGAAATGTACTTCTGATAAACATGCCACCAGTCTTCCTGAGCCCCCTTTTCAGTAGCAAGAGTCTAGAGCTGTGCAATCTAATGTAGGGGGCCTTGGCTTTGGGGCACTTGAAATGGGTCTCATCAGAATTGACATGTTATAAATACAACACACACGTTGGATTTTTGAAGACTTAGAAGAAAATAACGTGATGCATCTCAACAACAAATTTCATATTGAATATATATTGAGATGATAACATTTGGGGATATAGTAGTTTAAATAAAATTCATTATTAAAATTAGTTTTGATGTTTGCTTTAATTTGATGGCTGGAAAGTTTTAGAGTCTCTCGAGCGCTCATGGTATAGTGGTTATAAGTTGGGCTGCAATCCACAAGGTCAGCAGTTTGAAACCACATTCTGCTCCAAGGGAGAGAGATGGGACTTTTATTCCTGCAAAGAGTTATAGTCTCAGAAACTCACAGGGGCAGTCCTAACCTATTCTATAGGATGGCTATGAGCCAGCATTGACTCAATAGCAGTGAGTTTGGATAATCCAAGTGATTGACATGCTTAGCTGTTAACCCAAACACTGGATGTTCAAGTCTACCCAGGGATGCCTCAGAAGAAAGCCTGGTGACCTACTTTTCAAAAAAAAAAAATACCTGGCAGAGGAGATACCATGATCACGAATGTGCTTTTCCCAGGGCGAGGCTTATCCACTGCACTCCAGATGTGCTGATGCCTGCAATTTCCCCAAATATGGGAAACTCGACTGCATAATTTGTGGTAGTGGGGGACAGCATTCCCACTCTCCCCTAAAAAAAATAGGCTACTGAAAACCCTATGGAACACAATTCTATTCTGACAACACTGGTGTTGCCACAAGATGCGGTCAACTCAAGGGCAACTGGCTTCTTTGGTACTGTTGTTATCATTAGATCCCATCAAGTCCATTTCTGTTCATCGCAATTTCATGTGACCCCACAGAACTGTCCCATAGGGTTTTATTGGCTGTAATCTTTACAGAAGCAGATCCCCAGGTCTTATCCATACAGAACCGCTGGGCGGGTTTGAAGCACCTATTAACCACATAAGTAGCTCACTTATATTTCTATTAGACCACCGTGGTCTACGTGTCTGCCCAAACTGTAGGTCTGAAATCCTTGGAAGTAGGGGTAGCGATTGGTTTATATATGCTTATCTCCTCCTTGAAAACATAAATTTAAGCCTACCAAATGGTCTCATGAAACCACTCCCCCTCACGAGGAAATAACAAGGCAAAGGTCTAAATAGAAGGCAGACATGTATCTGCACAAACTGCCAAGGCTTCCTTTGAAAGCTACCATCGTGGCTTCGATTTAGTGTATCTAACTCCAGGATCAGAGGCCTAACGTTGTTAAAATTGCACTTAAATCCATCCAACGAAACATCAAGACCTGCTACCATCAGTTTCTGATAAAGTAACAAATGTGATTAGGCTCCCAAGCCAATGACTTTGCTTGAGCAAGATCCAGTCATTGTTTTCCTCATGTTTGTCCCAATGACTCCTTTTTCTCTTTCATGCCGTTGAAGATGCCGTTCTCATTAGCAGACATCTCTGAAACAGGAGGGTTGTTTATTGGACTCTTCAAGGCAAAGGCAAGCTTTTGCTAAAAGGCTCCAAAGGATTTTGCAAACAATTTCCACCCTTTCCTTCCCAAACCAAAAGCTGCTTGTGCGACATGAGTGCAGACAGTGTGGGCTGCTTACATCAAAATGAGCATGGATAGAAATGTTTACTTAGCAGGAGAGTGAAAAATTGCCCCTCGCATCTGCAAACATCTACATGTCCACATGACTACTGGACTGTGGGGCAAGCACACCTGCCACCTCCTGTGGACAACTCTGCTCTCTCCTAGCCTGCACTCTCCAACGAGCTCTTCTGCTGCGTTTAGGCTACATTCACATGACCATGTCTGTGGATCGTTTACAAGTCCCTTGGTAATGCTAATGGACAAGCACTCAGCTACTTAACAAAAGGTTAGAAGTTCAAGCCCACAGAGCCGCATCTGATTCCAAAAAGTTGGCCACTGAAACTACTATGGAGCACAGTTCGACACGAACATATATGGGGTCTCCATGAGCTGGAAGTGACTTGAGGGCAGTGAATTGATTACTGGTGGTCCCTTTGAATTGCCATCAGATATAAGACTGACAGGTTAGTCAAAGGCCCAGTACAGGTGGGCCCTCCAGATCCCTAACGATGGGCAGTCCAAGAAAAGTCCAAGAAGGGAAAGGTACTGGATAGTCCTGAGACAGGATTTGTGTTAATTTTCCTAAGTGGTTCGTTCATAATTAATCAGACAGCTCAGCCAGATTGTTCTCCAGATGAGCTTCAGTGGTTTAGAAGTTATCACTTATATTCCCAGTGTCTTAAGAATGCATTACTTTTTTGTTGCTACTGGTTATTGCTGTTGTGGTAGTGGTTGTTAGTTGCTGTTGAATTAGCCCCTACTGGTGGCAACTTTCTATGTATACCTGGTCCTGTGCTTGCGTCATGATCAGTGGCATAGATCCATCACCCTTATGTTAGTTTATCATACTGTGATGGCTTGTGGAAGTCATGTCACCAGTATTTCAAATGCTAGCAGGCCCACTCAGGATCGGCAGATAGCACCAGAGCTCCCCAGGCTAAAACAGATTAGGAAAAAAGAATCTGGTAAACTAATTCTCAAAGGACTGGCTAGTGAAAATCTTGACTAGCAGTGGAACATTATCTGATACAGTGCCAGATGATGAGCCTCTCAAGTTGAAAAACACTAAAATAAAAACGGGGAAGCGCTGCCTCCTCAAAGAAGAACAGACTAGTGAGCTCCCAGCCATCACGTCAATTCTAACTGAGAGCGACCCTTTAGGACAGAGTAGAACTGCCCACGTGGATTCCCAAGACTGTAAAGCTTGGTTGCTGTGAGGTGCCACTGAGTCCATTCCAACCATGGCAACCCAGTGTAGCACAAAGAAAACACTGTCCCTTCCTGCTCCATCCTCACAATTGTTCCTGTGCTTAAGCCTACTGTGTCCATCCATCACCTTGAGGGCTTTCCTCTTTTTTTATGCCCCTCTACTTTACCAGGCAATGTGTCCTTTTCCAGGGACTGGTCTCTCGGACATATCCAAAGTATTTAAGATGAAGTCTCTTCATCTTTGCCTCTAAGGAGGACTCTGGCCCTACTTCTTCCAAATGAGATCAGTTTCTAAATCTCTAGGGGAATAGAAAGCCTCTTTTGCCCAATGAGGGGCTGGTGATTTTGAACTGCAACCTTGCATTTAACAACCTAAGTAGTAACCCACAAGTAGAGTTAACCTTATTGACATTGAGGGATAAAAGCTTTTGGAATCTTCATTAGCTGATGTGGTATGATTCATATTGAGAAGAGATAGCTCCAAATGTCCACTAAAAATGGGAACATGAAATCATGAATCTAGGAAGTTAGAAGTTGTAAAACTTGAAAGGACATAAATATTGATATCAAAAATATTAATGAGCTGAAATGGACTCGTATCGGCCACTTTGGATCAGATAATAACATCCCTAGAATTTCAGATAAAAGTGGAATATCATTTCATTAATTGTCAAAATGAACATTTCAAGATCTATCCAGCAGTACAATGCTGTCAGTAATAAGATAAGATCCATATGCCTTCAAAGAAGACTAGTTAATATGACTATCATTAAAGTTTATATACCACTTACTAGTGTCAAAGAAGAGCAAATTAAAGATTTTTACAAACTTTTAAAATAAAATTATTGGTGGCTAGAATTCAAAAGTTAAAAACAAAGAAGAAAAATCAAATCATTGTGAATGAGGGGAGTACAGATTGGGGACCCAAGACCCATCTAGGCAACTGGACATCCCCTTACAGAAGGACCATGTGGAGGAGATGAGCCAGACAGGGTGCAGTGTAGCAACGATGAAACAAACAACCAAGAAAGAGAAGACTAAAGCAGATATCAGAAGAGACTTAAACTTGCTCTAGAGCAGTGGTTCTTAACTTTCCTAATGTCGTGACCCTTTAATATAGTTCCTCATGTGTGGTGACCCCCAACCATCAGAAATACGTGTTTTCCAATGGTCTTAGGCAACCCCTGTGAAAGGGTCATTTGACCCCCCAAAGGGTCAGTACCCACAGGTGGAAAAACGCTACTCTAGAGCATTGTTTCCCAAGGTGAGCAATACCACCCCTTGGGAGACACTGGAATGATACATGGGGTTTTCAAAAGCAGATACCAACACTTTATCCTGGATTGTGGGCTTTAATACAAAATGTTTAATTGCCCGAGGACTGCTGAGCAATTTTTTCCTGGAGAAGAGGTGGTTGACCAAATAAGTTTGGGAATGTTTGCTCTAGAATATAGAGATACTAAAGTGAATGGAAGAAACAATGACGCATAAAAACTAAATAGAAGTTTTCAAAGGCAGGTGGAGAAAACAATGTGAGGTGTTATAATGAAATGTGCAAAGACCTGGAATTAAAAAGCCAAAAGCGAGGAGCATGCTCAGCTTATCTAAAACTCAAAAAACGAACGTGAAAATTCAAGCCTTAGGTTGCATCAAAGCAACACAAAAGCCATCACTCATAGGGCCATTAGGTATACTGGGCAGGAATCCTGCTCAGGCTTCACACATGGAAGGCAAGAAAATTGAACCACTGTACCACTACTGACCCCACTCATCTTTCTCCAGCCAGATTCAAAGAGCAGCAGGTACCCTACCACATACAATCATTAAGAGAATGAAGACATCACAGAGGCCAACGAGAATTAGTGACTATAGATCGAAGCTTTCATCACCGCCAGTATCTTTATGGAGTCCCAGTGGCTTAGTCCGAAATTGATCCAACTTCAATCAGATCAAACATGTACTAAACATGCATCGATAGTTATTGATGATTGGAATGGAAAAGTTGGGGGGAAAAAGAGGAAGGGACAGTAGTTGGAAAACATGGACTTGATGATAGAAATGAAGCTGGAAATTGCATGATAGAATTTTGCAAAGCCAACTACTTGTTCATAGCAAATACCTTTCTTCAACAATAAAAAAGGTGACTATCCACATGGACTTTTCCAGATGAAACACTCAGAAATCAAGTTGACTACATCTGTGGGAAGAGAAGATGGAGAAGATCAATATTAGCAGCTAAAACCACACCAGGGGCCGACTATGGAACAGACCATTGCTCATATGTACGTTTGGGATAAAACTGAAGAAAATTAAAACAATTTCACAAGAGTCCAAACACGACTTTGAGTCTATACCACCTGAATTTCATGAACAGATTTGATGCATTAAGCACTAATGGTAGGAGACCCGATGAGCTATGGGAGGTCAACTGTGGGAGAAGACCAGCATTCATAAAGAAATCAGAAGGTCCTCAAAAAGACAGCAGTCTCCTGCTTCTGTTTTGAAGGGTTCTCTGTCTTAGCTTTCGTGTATCAAACTATCTTAAATATTGAGAGGAACCTACACAAATGTGACATGATTCATGCAGTGAAACAAATAAAAACTGTAATAGTAAGGGGAGAAAATATTAAACTAGAGGATAGTTATGTGTTCCATCAGTGTTATACCACACTCTGGATTTATCATCCCTTCCATGTGGCCCTTCCAATTATCCCAGAGAGACTGTCCAATTATCTTACGGGTGGGTTTTGGATCTCCACTACATCCATGCCCCTTCACACCAATTTGGTTGCTTGTTTTTGAACTTCTGAGACTTTTTCTGATGACACCTCACGATCACACAGGCTGGTGTGCTTCTTACATGTGGGCTTTGTTGC